TAGAGGAGAAGGGGGGCATGAGAATGAAAGATGGGAGTCACAGACATCATCCCAAAAAGGTCAGAACATGAGGTTACCTTCCCTTGTACCATCTACCACTCCTGCTGCTGCTGTGTCAGAACAGAGGAAACTCATTAACTCAGCCTTGTGTCACCCAGTTTGAGTCTCCTACTGGAATACCCAGCTGAAGCCCTTTTCTTCAGAGGGAGAGCCCAGAACAGCCCTGAATTTGAGTATTCGGAGCACTCACATGAAAAATGGAGCATGTGAGTTTTGGTGCTAGCAGACCAGGTTTAGGGGGGAAAGTGAGCAGGCATTAACACCAGTGTGACATCTGTCTCCATGAATTCATGGCCAGGATCAGCTGGACTGGTTTGATGCAAGGGAGGTTGGACCAATAACCATGTAAGCAGCCCCCATCTCTGGCTTACTTATTTCTGCCCTGTGTCCTACCATATCAGTTTTTTCTCATTTGTATTACTTTCCAGGGTTTTTTGTTTGTTTTTTCTTTTTATATTGCTTCATAATTTCATGAGGTGGCCAAAAATACAATTATGGCATAGTGAAAGCATAGTTTCCTTAAGCTGAAATTGCAGCTGGAAAACCCTTTCTTGTTAAGTCCAAATCTAACCTGTCATTTCCAATGCCTTCCCCCTTGCTATGGATGCCTAATGTGGAAAGACTTTCCTTTCTTTTGAGCTGAATTATAATATATGCTACTCCTGGTTTTACTCTTTTTTTTTAAAGTAAAAAAACATAGAATTCCACTTGAGTTTGAGAAGCACACATCTATATAGTATTTTGAGTCCAGTTTGGAAACCGAGAATATAATTTTGCCATCTAATCAGATGCAGATACTAACATTTTAATATTCACTCATCTCCAGATTTTAGCCATTGCATTTTAAAAAGAAATAATTTGTTACATGAGGAGTTGAAGCACTAAGCAAAATGTGGCAATCAAAGCAATATAGATCCAGCTGTCATGGAAAAATTCTGATTACTCAAGCATACATACCTTCCCTTTTTAACTGTGTGTCTTCCAAGCAGAAGATCAAATATGGGATCAATAGAGTCACACATGCTTCAAATAGTACAATCTCATCAAAAGCTAAAGCTCTTTCAATGGTCTTCAGAAAACTTTACCTGAAAAATAAATTTTCCCCCCTCCAATATTAGATAAATGCTGGTTATAGAAAGATTTATAGAAAGATTTCCTTTATATAATATAAATGGTGAAGTTTTTCTAAAAGCACGTGGTTAAACCATAGAAAACTGTTCACAAGGAATTGCTCAGTGTTTAAGAGCTTGACAGTTTTGAGTCCAATATCTTTCCACCTATGCTCTTACTATTCCTCATATTATATATATATATATATATATATGTAGCTGGGGCTTTTCTTATAAGCAAATATGAGGGTACAGCCCCACATGGAAGACATTGGAATTGACATAGAAATGTCGGGGAAGCAAATATCTATATCATCTATATAATCTATACCTATATTTATATATCTCTATATAATCTATATCTATCTATCTATATTCTTGTGTTACAGATTTTGGTATATCCTCATTTAAATTATAAACAGTTTCTTGAAGGACTTCAAAAACACTTAGAATCTGAGTGACTTGGGAGAAATCTGTTGCAACGAGCATGGAAAAAGGAACAGATAATAATGGAAAGATAAGCAATCAGATGATATAGCTTCACAAAGCAGGGTACTACTGAGTGTGAATGAAAAATCATGATAATTTGTGAGGGTTGGAAAAAGAATGAAAAACAAACCAGGACAGATGAAGGAAAAGAATTGATTCAAATGAGCAGACAGGCTAGATGATTAAGACCTATTTTAAAAATCAGGCATTACTATGACCATCTACTGTGTTGAGTAATTATGTGTTATATCTGGAATTTAGTAAAAAAACCTCTGAAAGCCCTTTGAAATGGAACATTATCTCCCTAAATCTAAGTAAAGATAAGAAAATATATTAAGAGATCAATTACATGCTAGTGCTCCCAGCTAACATGTAATTCAGTAATAAGAATTAAAACATGTTTGTTTACCAGGAAGTGACCCAATATTGGCTTTTGTCTTGAATGCTTCACATGCTGTGTTCTGCTGACTAAACTGTAGAGTATAAGTAAGGGCTTATCATCAGGCTTTGCAGCTTATCTGTTGAAAAAATGATTTGACCCTCACAAGAAGTGCACCTCAACCTCCATTTCCTCCTCATCACTTGAAAACAACATAAGAAGGGTGCCTTTTCAAGCACCATTTTAAAAGGAAAATGATGCTGTGGATAAATGAGCAGAACTGTTGTAATATTTCAATTCTTTAAGCAAGTGCATTTCAACAAAAATCCCTCACAAAAATTAGGGGAACTCGAAGGCAGTAAAGGTGAAAGCCAATTCTTCAGAGCGCACATATCCTTTCTGTCCTAGACGTACGACTTTAAGGTCAGCTCCATATTTATTCTTTATCCATTTAATTCCCTGTTGCTGGGGATCTATCATCAGAGGTCAGCACTCACAGTTTGTTAGAACAGTGGCATTTTCTGTTGACATCCCATCACCCTCGTTCCTCCATGCCACATCATCTGTCAGCGTGGCAATTGGGTCCAGGCCCTCCGTCACAGGAAAAGGAGCCTTACAATCAGAGTGGAATAGAAGCACCCAGCAAGGTTACCAAGTAGCAAGACATGACTCAGTGCAATGCACAGGATAACTGGAGGGATGTAAATTAAAGTAAGGCATAAAAGTAAGGAGGATCCCTGTGGAGTTTCAGATGAAAAGAAAGTGCCGAGAAGCAGTTTATCATATTTATAGCAGATTTTAAAGACGTATTTTCTCTTAAGACATTTGCTTCATAAAAAATATTTCTAGATCAATAAAGTTAAAAAGGCATAATATATTATAAATTCAGTATATTCTGATATTGCAAATTCAATGCTCATGTAGGCTCTTGAACTCCTATTTCTGGGACATAAATCAGTATTTATCTACAAAAAAAAATAATCATAAAAGCAGGATTCCCGTGGCATCTTATTAATACAGCTCAGCTACCCTGAAAAGCCAGAGAATGGGGCCATCTCTGGGGGCAGAGGCAGCCATGGAGCTCCCTGTGAGGCACCAGCTGCAGCAGAGCTCTCCTGTGAGTGTCCCTTCACTCAGGAGGGGCTGTCACAGAGCAGCCACCTCACAGCCACACTCACTGGATGCCAACCCCCCACTTGCAAGGAGATGAAATGAAATAAAATACAATTGGAAGTCTGAAATCAGTGCTCACCAAACAGGTATGGGTGGGAAGAGAAATGCCTAATTCAGCACAACAGAATAAGAGAGTGCATGAATAAGTTGTTTGGAACAAACAAGAGGAGCTGGTGGAAGCATCATAGAAGACCAATAACAGATGTCTGGAATTAATTTTTTTCCTTACTGAAGCAAAGGGCAAACCCCCACCAATTCCTTCATGGTGTTCCAGGCTTCCTTATTAGTGATTTTTTGATTGAATTCAAAAGTCATAAATAAAGGAAAGCACTGCATCATCAGTATTAAGCCTGAACTATCTTCTCCCCCAGCCAGAAGTATCTTAAAAACTCTTCCATCAAACTTTTCCTTCTCCCTGGACATGTCTAGTCCTCATTGCTGGCTTTTAGACTAAAGTTTCTTTTAAAAATGCACACTGAAACAAAAAAAAACCCAAACAAAACAGCCCCATGGATATATGACAGTAATTTATAATGTAAAGCATTACATATATTTAAGTTGAGCCAAATCTGCACAATTATTAATAATAAGAATGGCACCATACCTCTAGTGCTGCTTCTGTGGCACAGTGTCTTAGTTAGTGTAGTATTACAGAACACATACCACCTTAAATTGTCTAACCCTTGGTTCTAATCTCTGAGCCCAAAATAAACCTAGCTTTTGATGAATCTGCTGAAAATACAAGCACAAAGGCCCCAGCAGGCCTACACTCTCCTCTGCAAGCATGCAACATATCTATTTCCCATGTGTAACACACTCATCTAAATATAGCAAAAAGACTGAAAACATTATTTTTTTTTTAATCTCTGGACTGTAAGACAACCAATACAATAATTTCCATGAGCTGAAATACTTGCTTGTGCAAAACATTGCACTGGGGTATTATCAGTGTTCCTAATACTAATTTTCACACAATTCACAAAAACTATCTGTATATATAGGTACATCTATTGTTACTGTATCTGCAAAAAGCTGATACTTAATGACATAGAACTACTTGCTGTTCCTTCTGTAGAGGATTATTAATAAACATCTCTTTTAACATAACTTTTCAAGTGTATTTGTCTCTTCCATTCTTCCTCACTTGGAGGAAAACAATAAAAACTGAAATGAGGTATTTTGTCTCACTGCTGTTCAGTGAAAGCATCTTAAAAATTAAAACATCACAGTATGGTTTATTTTTATTCATAAAAATGTTCAATCCATTTTTAAAAAGTCTTAAGAGTTAAGAATTACATTTATTTCCAGAATCCTACTATTGAAAATATACAGGACAATTTTTACTATCTAGGCTGCTAGGTAGAAGGAGGTTTCTGAGAGAGAATTTTATCTGCAAGCAAGTTTTTGGTGGAAAAGGACAGGGAGAGGTTCCAGGTAAAGCAAAGCTCTAGACAAATTGGTGACTGTTAAACTCTGGCACAAAGCAAATATCTGCAAAGAGATGTCCCCACAGTTCTGAGTGCTGACCTTGGAAACTCAAATTTGGATTTATCTGTGTTTCCAGAGGGTCCTCATAATTCAGCTCACCAGCTGTGACATAGATCTGTGATTGAAAATGAGGTAAGTGCTGCCCATTTCACATATTTCTGAGAATAAGCAACATTAATTGTGATATAATGCACACAAAAAATAACAAACAAGTAGGAAGGGGTGAGGAGCATTTGCACTAATGAAGAAAAGAATGGTCCAAAGCTTCAAAAGTAAGGAGGGAGAAAGCTTTGCAGAGACAACTGCAAGAATTGGAACTTATATGCATTTACTGAGAACTCCATGTGCAGAAAAATGGGAATTATCATGACTACATGCTCTTCCTGGAACTGAGAAGCAAAGCAGAATAGGTCTCTCCATACAATTCTTTCATTTTTACAGCATTTGCTGTTACAAAGGTGTCACAAAGGACAGACTATGGCATTGAGATTTGGAAAGGGAAGGGATATTCTTTTGCCAGAGAACATCTTTCATTTCACTCAAAAGATATCTGTAATCTGAGGAAAGTATGCCTATGTATACACACTCTCTATGTAAGTGCACATATATGTATATCCTGGAAAACAAATACCTTCAATGAGGCACATGTATATACAGATCTGTACTTCAAATTTTACTTTTTGTACCTTTAGAGGAGGAATCCAGAAATGTCCCTTTGGCTCCTGGTGATACTGTTTTATGAAGGTTCCAAAGTAAGACACAAATGCTGCTGTCAATAAGATGTCACCACGTAAAAGTTTTCTTCTGTGCTTTGAGGTTTTCAATGGAGTGGCTCCAACATGTTTTTGGACTGCAAAGCAAAACTAGAAAATATTATCTCCTGAGCACCATGGAAGTGACAGAATGTTAAATCTCCATCTTATTAACCAGAAGCACACCAAAGCGCAACAGGAGAAGTACTCCATCAGCAAGAGATACACTTCCAAAGACTGCAAAGGCTGGGAACAATCCAGAATTTCTGATGTTGATTTGAAACTTTTGAAGCTGAAAACAATAGGATAGAACTCATTGTCAAACATTCTATCTACTGATTTTTTCAGTAATTGGTGCTTTTGTCTAGATCAGATGCAGCATGGTGGACATACTTTAATACTGGCAGCATCTGGTGTCCTACTGCCAGTGCAGGGTTTCCAGCAACATTCAGAAAAGGGAAGTAAACAAGAATATTAGAAGACAAAAAAGAAGAAAAACTTTTCAACCTCAATAAAGATGTCACTTTTACTTTTTTTTCCAAGGGGAGGAGAAAGGCAGCAGAGTTGATATCACTGCCCATGGAAGGGGGTTTAAAACTTAGATGGTCTTTCAAAACATTCTATAATTCTGTGAAGACCTGCAGGGTCTTTTGCTTTTATTTATCTTTCTTCTTTTATCTACTAGCTACAGACATCTTACTCAGCTAAGGCTGCAATGATTTGGAATTTTGACAGGAGAAAAGATGAGGGTGGCCAAACACACAGGCTGCCCATAGAGGCTGTGAAGTTTCCATGGTCCTGGGCACTCTGGTCTAACCAATCCTGTTTGATCAATTAGGATGGCTTAGAATATCTCAGAAGGTTCCCTCCAGCTGCAATGATTCTGTCAAAGTTTAACTCTAGCATCACTTTCTTAATACATTTTTGCTCCCTACAGAGAGCCCTGGTTTCCCTTGTTCTTTTGCAGGGTTCATTTTAACCATGCTAACCCTGGGATATTTAGGATGAATAGTCAGGAATAGTCTCAGATCTTGATTATTTATTATAAGCAGCTATGTGGAAAGCTGTTATTTTATTCCAGTCATGTGATACAAACAGCCCACTATCTATCTGAAATTTAAACTGGTTACTAAAGAATTTCAGAAAATGAAAGCATATTCTTCAAAGAAAATTAACATTCAAGGTATGGATCATCACTGAAGCAGAGAAAGGGCCAGGATGAAAGAAGGGAAGCACCCTAGAACTACTTATAAGGACAGCCATTTATGCTCTGCCCATACAGACATTTGTTTTTCAGAGCAATGAAGTAATCGAACAATATTTTTCCAGTCCTTTACATGATGCAAAATCAGTGGAAATCTCTGAATGTAAAGCATCCTCTATACTTCATGGAATTTGATATTAAATGTTTGTTTTTTGCTGGTATCATCTGCTTAAGAGCTTAAAAGAAAACTCTTAAATGTGCTCATTTTTGAAAGCTGTACAGATTATAAAATAAATCTCAACTCACTCTCATTTAAAAAATAATTTTCCAAGTGTACAAAACCAAAGTAATAAAATAATTGTTAAATTTTATATTCATGAAGTATTTTCCACTTATATTTCTCAGAAAAATCAGAAATACTTACTGAAATGGTTAAACATTCAATCTTGTCAAGAGAGATACAGAATTCAATGATAACAAGACTCAAAGTCTTTTGTTATAAAAAAGGAATATAGAAGATCCGCTAAGAAAATAGAAGTATCTTTCATCAAAGTATGCTGCTTAAAAGACCTAGCATGTACATGTTTCACAAACACAGGAATTTGGTGTGTGAAGGCCTCCTAAGCCCCAGTTCCATCCATAAGAGATGCCCAACAGCTGACAAGTAAAGGACCATTCCTGTTCAGGTTCTAACAGCAATCTTTGCAATGCAGCAGTTTTGCTTTGAAGTGTTTTAGACATCCATTTTTGCCCACAAAAGTCATTGGATTTTTCTTTAAATCATTAACTGAGGGCAACAAGACAGTAAATCCATTAATTCACAAGAGGGCTTTTTGATTTATCCATTCTCTCTTCTTCTTGTCACTGATGGGTAAGTCATAAACAATAAAGAGTACCCACCTCATTCTCCAAAATAGCTTTGAAATTTGAAGATTTGCTAAACATAGAATGATTGTCTATTTAAATCTTCAGTAATTTTACCATACTAGCCAAGCACCATAAATCACTAGTGACATTGGTTAACAAGGGTTTAAGAGTTGGAACATGCAGTGTAATAAATTTCCAGACAGTTAAAAATCACTATAATTTTATTCTAATGCATTATAGATTGCCTGTAATGTCATCCTGGCCGGGGTGACCCATTTCTAATTTTGAACAGCTGTTCAGCTCGGGAGTTAGTTAATGATTAAATATAAATTGCCTGATTTATTAGTCTGAATGGCTGAGCTTCCAGGTCAATGCTATATAGACAAAATCATCAGTCTTGATGCTTTTCAGAAGTTAACTGTCTCCTGTTCTAGTCAAAAAGAATTTATTCTCAAAGGAAAAGGCTTGACATTCTCAATTAATCCTTTCCAATATTTTCCCCCTCAACTTACACAATAAGATCACTAATAAAACCTCAAATTTTGGAGATAAACTTCTTTTAACTATGTGTAAATCTTCAAGAGCTGGAGACTGACTATGGGCTAAGGCCATGGATTTGCACAGAGCTTCCAAAAGCTTTGGAGTGCTGTAAGGCTGGGCCATCTCAGGTGTCTTGGGGCAAAAAAAGTTTTTCATATGCACACAATAACATCAACTTCACTGTTTTTCTACCAATGGAAAGATTATTTACATTCTTTACATTTCTAGCATAGTAATTTCAAGATCAGGTAAAAAAATATATTCTGTTTTAAGTGCACCGGGGTTTTTAATTAGTTTCATGCTCTCACAATATTTTTTTCACAAACTGATTTAATATTGATTGCTATGCTCTGCTGAGATATTTGCAGAAACAAAAGTATCCACACTGATCTTAGAAAGCAAGGTCACAGGGATTTTAAGAAATCCAACGTAAAATATTTATTCAGACTACCTTGGGAACTCATGTCATAGTGCAAATATTCCTTGTAACTTCTATTTCCTATCATATGCACATATTTGTCAAAAAAGGAGTTGTTAAAATTCTAGATGATGAATTGAGATGGAACAATTTCTGTAAAGACCTAGGAGAGACTGCTCAGCAAGGCTGCAGCTGACTCCAGTGGTTCTGTTAAATAGGCATGCAGTAGCTTTAATGATGTTTGTCTGCAAATAAAGCTAATAATCACACTGAAATATATATAATTTTGCCATAAATACATTTCATTCTTATTTAAAAATTATTAGTTTCTGTAAAAAACCAAAAGCAAATAGCAAATATCTGATGGGTGCCTTCCACTTATTTGCAATCTAAAGTGCAACAAGGGCAGATGCAGGGTGGCTCCATCCTGACCTAGAGGATTATTCAGTCTTTCTGCTCATTAACCAGAGGCTGCCCACGCTGTCACAATGTATTCACAGTTGTGTATAAATGTGGTGACTTCGTTATTGAGATTTCTCTCTAGCAATCATGCCAATATCAGTTTCTCAGCAATACTTGATTTTTTAAGAAATACAATTGTGGTGCAGCACATTTTACTTCATACAATTTTATTGAGAGTTTGTTTGTGATTTGAGGTTGTTTGGATGGGTCTTTTTTTTAATTAAAAAGCTTTCTAATAATGGTCATCTTGTCACTTTTGTCCTCCCCTGCACTCCTCCTGCCTATTTTCCCCACATAATCTTCAAAAATTTAGGCTTAACCCCCTGTTGAACAAAAAATGTCAACTATTTAAAAATTTACACTAAGGTGAACATTCAGGCAAAATCTTCTCACCTCAGGTCACTTAACCAACCTGTTGGCTAGCCCAGACATTTTATTTATTCCGTTTACATCATCTGGACATAGGGCTGTTTCTTCAACTGCTTTCTCAAGTAAAGATGTGAGCTTATGCAGAAAAGGGATGGGTAAATAGTGTAGCTAAGATTTGTTGCTTGGGAGTTTTGTCTGTTTTTTAAAAGTATTATTTTTATTTCAAATAATATATTTTAATGACAATAACTGTAGGCAGTACCTTTAACTTTGTGGGGGTACAAACTTCAGAGGAAATGTTTTGCTAAATTCTGTTTTTTTCCTGCAGCTCCTGGACCACCATAAGTACATTAGCTAACAACAATTGAAATAAAAAATTGCAAGACAGAATTATTACTTTCATTTTTCATATGAGCCTGGAGATGCAAAAACATTCAGTAATTTTCTCATGGATTCATTCACATTTTCTGCACGCTGATCTGCACCTTCATCCACATTCTCTGCGCTCTGCTCAGAAGGCAGCAACATCCCTGGCTTTGCTTTCAGGGGTTTCATCCTGCACATGCCTCAAAACAAGTTACCTCAAACAGATTTGTTTCTCTCGAGTAACATACAGAGCTAACAACAGTAAGTTGTTATTTGGAGGGCAAAATTTTCCTGTGTGGGGTTTAATGAAAGAACAGCAGCAGGCGCAAGTTGTGCACACCTTCACAAAAGCTGTTTTTAACATTTTTGCAGGATAAAAGGTTTGGCTCTCTTCCGTCAGGTTTGATGCTTGAATTGGTGGTGAGCAACCAGGAAATTTAGTAATTATTTATGAATTTAAAATAAGAAATTGATTGACAAAAGGGGAAAGATACATCTTATAGATTAATAAAGGAAGTTGACTTGATTTTTTTAGGGATAATGAGGCAGCCAATACACTTTTTATGGTGGTGAATCTTAAATTGAGAGACCAATGAGGGCTTATACTGACTAAGTATGAGGACTTCCCCTCAATAAGAGCATCTAACAGAGATGGGCTATAAGTAAAATTTCATCAATCTAGAATTCAAGGCATAAGAAGAACGAGCACAGTAGCAGTTCTCTACTCTTTTATAGGAGAGACTTATTTCTAGACTCCTCAAGTTTTCCTGCATGGTAACAGAGACAATATACTTGACTAGAGTTCAAGTGCACTCATCCATCAAAGGCTCAGGTAGTAAAGATGAGAGTGAGACAAACAGTAAGCAATGCCT